AATAATTGGGGGGCAAGTGTTCGTGGTTTCAGAATGCAACTTTGTCTCATATGCATTCAGGATGCGTACAGGTGCTTCAAATTCTAGAGAACCCTTGAATTAGAAAAATGTATATTCAAGGCCCTCGCAAGTCCCTGAATTTTTTCCCGTTCTTGAACATTTGAATTTCTAGAGCTGTGCACTCTCATATCAAAATTTCAGTCTACTAAACACGATGAATCGGCGTGTCAAGTTTTCAAACTCCCCTTTTGAAGCGTAATTACTGTGCCAACACATGTGGTTCCACAGGGGTGCAACAGCGAGAATAGAATCTGGAGAAATTTTTGGAGCAGCAAAATTTTACTTCTGGAGATCTAAAATGAAAAGTTGGAGGAGGTTACGGGGAAAAAAAAAACCATCGATTTTTATCACGAAATACCGAATTTGGAGCTGTATAAGAAGGCTTACATGAAAAAAAAAAAACGTAGAAAGCCTTCAACATCATCTAAATCATGCAGCATAAGCATGGTCACTGTTATTTAAACAAAAATAGTTTGAATCGCCACACTGAGAAAAAGTGATAGTCAGCATTACAATTTGCCACATCAGTGAAATTATTTGACAGACTCTGCGAATTCAAATGTGAATCTACCAAGCTGGCGACATTGAAATTCAGAAGATTCGTAAAACTGAGGAGGAGGGGTGGCAAAAAAAAAAAAAAAAAAAAGCTGGTGCAGAAGGGCAACGGAAATGTCCTAAACTGCTTCATACGTTTACCAGTATTTTTTTCAGCCGTCAGCGATCACACTAGTACCGTACTCGCAAATATGCGGAGTATACATGCATGACCAATTGAAAATGGGCAGTGACTAGTGCTAACATTCCTTTCCAAATCACAATAAGCTTTCTTGCAAGAGAGCACTGCACTGCGGCGAAAGTAGCTTAAGCAGGGCACTGCAGGCGAGTTTACAAAGGCGAGCGGATAAAGCCCCCCACTATGCACTGCGCTGGGCCGCTCTTGGAGGCTATGCATTTCCGCCGGCCTAACTGTGTCATCGCGCTGTCTCTCCCTGCACTTTCGCATAGCGTTGCCGAGAGGGCTGCTGCACCAGCGGGGGCCTTGCTCGCAAAGGAAAGCCCTGCCAAGGCTTTTGGACCTGCGGCGAGTTGAGTTGGATACTCGCAAAGAAATCGTGTGCGCCCACCTGTCGGCTCTCGCAACCGAAAGCCGGCTTGTTCATGACGCAAGTGGGCACTGGCACGATGTGATCAAGAAATGGGTTTCGAGCAGTGCGCGCGCCTTGTATCGCCTCTGCGCTGCGATCCTTGCTCTGCCCAACGTTTTGCTGGCCTGTTATCAACGATATAAGTTTGGATGTTTATTAAGTCGTATGCAATCAACACACAACGACGCGATCACGTACTTGTGCAAGCCTTGCCTCGTCGCTGGTCAGAAAGGGGGTTTCGGAAAAATCACACTCCGCTATGTCGCGGTCGTCACTTCAGGTATGGTGGCTAGAGGGGCTACCATACTTCAGGGTTAACTAGCTTTAGCTGATGCTCAGCACTGACTTCTAAGCTACGCATTATGAATATGAACATGTCATGCAACACAAAGACCTTCCGAACGCCATTGTGCGGCTTAAAAAAAGTAAAGCTTCCGGCCTCGCCTGTTCATATATTCAACGCCTCCTTGGTATATTACACGGACAAGATAATACGCCATCGTTAAGGCAAAAGAACACCGCTGCTTAAATATTGCCTATCGGTGCAAGTAAGGTTCGAACAAAAGCAAAGTTTTTCTGGTGTGTCCTGCAGAAAAAAAGTGCCTGCGTTTTCTTTTCTTTTTTGGCGCTTCAGTGCAGCATACATGTGTAATGCGGTGAAGCTGTGAGGGCACGCGCAACGTTGTAATATGCGACCGAGCACCTCGACATGATGTTTTTCTCTTTTTTTTTCTACAACCCGCCCTTGTCCAACAAGCAGTCATGCAAACTTGATGGCAAGTAAAAAAAAAAACATACCTGGCCACAAGTGCCACATAGTCGTCACATGAGATTGAAATAAAAGCAGGAGTGCAGACCATGCATAGAGACACACTGGAGGATGTTCTAAAGCATAGACCATGCCATGAAGCGCCGGCGCTATCAGCGTGACGTCACACAGACTTCGCATGACACCACACTTCTTCCCACAATGTTTATGGCCTACACCAATTGGGAGGTTTTCTTGCACGAGCACTGCATCGAAGAGTCTGAGCACCTTAAGGAGACACAGGTATTCGCAGAGGGGACGCTGCCGGGGTAGAGCCTTGATGTGGACTTGCATTTGGTTGTTCCGAGGGAGCTGAGTCTCCGGGTTGCTCCGGCGGTGCGATAGCAGACCTGGGAGACGCATGAACCGGAAGGGGACGGGGGCTCGTAGGAGGGGCTTCGGACCCAGGGTCTAGAATTGAGCTGGGCACGAAACAAAAACGCTCACTGGGGCCTTCTTCGCCACTCTCAAAGTAGCGCGGACGTAAATTGTCTACATGCATGAACCCGTTTTCGGATCCTACGCGCACAAGGTACGTAATGGCACTGCACCTTTTTTCTATGACACCTATCAGCCACTTGGGATCACCTGGACGAAGGCCTTGAACCAGAACGCTTTCCCCCTCTTTGTAAGCTCTTTCCGACCCTCTTGTTTCGTCAACTTGGGCCTTTACTTTGGAGAACCGCTCTTCCATCCGTCTCTCCAGGTCTGGCTGTAGCATAGTCAGGCGAGTGCGGGGCGACCACGACAAGAACAGTTCTGTTGGTGTCTGCCGCGTGGTTGTGGTCGGTGTGTTCCGGTACCTGAAGAGAAAGATCTATGCGGTGCTGTGGGGTCTTACTCTGGCCTGATGACCTTTCGTCGAGAAGCTGTCGTGCAAGATCCCGTTTCACCGTCTAGACGCATCTCTCGGCGCTTCCATTGGACGCCGGGTGGTATGGAGGTGTTCTGGTGTGCCGCATTCCGTTCTTAAGCAGGAACTCTGTGAAATTTTGCCGTGAACTGAAGCCTGTTGTCCGTAACAGCCTCTTCTGGAAGGCCATACGATGCGAATACTCCACGCAGCCTCTCGACGGTCTTCTCGGTCGTTGTTGAATTCATCACAAACACCTCCACCCACTTCGAGTGTGCCTCCACCAGCACGAGGAGCCTCTTGTTGTCTGCGAATGCGAAATCCAGGTGGAGTCGCTGCCGTCTGCGGCTCGGCCAACCCCAAGTTTGTTGTGGGGCCTTAGGTGAAGCGTTCTGCGTCAACTGACAAGCACAGCAACTTTTAACAACATTTTCAATATCTTGGGTTAACTGAGGCCACCAGACATAGCTTCGCGCGGGCATTTTCATACGCGTAACTCCGGGGTGACCTTCATGACAAAGTGCCAATACTTGTTTACGCAAACAGCGTGGAACAATTACCCGATTTCCCCATGTAACGCACTGCTGATCTACTGATAGTTCATACCGGCGAACAAAGTACGGTTCGAATTCACTATTAGTGACATGCCAGGCCACCCGTTTTTCGTGTACCACAACACTTTCGATAGCACTCTATCAGTACTCGTTTTCTTGCGGATTATGTAAGCAGACAGTGGAAGTTCATTGACAACAGAGAAAAATTGTACGTGATCTGAGACATCTCGCTCATTCGCCAACGGCAATCGCGAAAGCGCGTCAGCGTTTCCCATGTTACTGCCTTTTCGGTACTCCCATCTGTAATTGTATGCCGCCAGTATCAAAGCCCATCGTTGCATGCGCGCTGCAGACATTACTGGAACTGGTCTGCTGTGCCCCAGAAGGCTGGATAATGGCTGGTGGTCCGAATAAATGACAAAACTATGCCCAAATAGGTATTTGTGGAACTTCTTCAGCCCAAAGACCACGGCGAGAGCCTCTTTTTCAATGTGAGCATAACCTTTCTCTGCTTTGCTTAGTGCCCTAGACGCATAAGCAATAGGTTTTTCCACCTTATCGATCTTATGAAACAGAATGGCGCCCACGTCATACATGAATGCGTCACACACCAGCCCTATCTCTTTCGTTGGGTCGTAGTATGTCAAAATGTTTCCTTTCGTCAACCACGTTTTACTTTGCTGGAACACTTGCTCTGCCTCACGGGACCATCTGAAACCTTTTTCGTGGTTCAACACGTCATACAGTGGTCTGAGTCTCGTGGCCACGTGGGGAACGAACTTAGCATAATAATTTATCAACCCTAAGTAAGCTCTTAACTGTGCCTCATTCGCAGGTGCAGGGGACTGCGTTATAGCTTTTACTTTTTCCTCTGACGGGCGTATGCCCTTTTCGTCGAGAACGTGCCCCAAATACAGGAGGGAAGTTTGAAAGAACTTACATTTCTCTTTTTTCAGGCGAATGCCTCTTTCTAGAAACCGGGACAGCACAATTTCCACTTTGTGGAAACATTCTTCAAAGGTAGCTCCTGCTATCAGCACGTCGTCTAGATAGCACGCTACCCGAACAAGTCCTTTCAGCTCGTCACCATAACTGCCTGGAAAATCAAAGGTGCCCTCGTTATGCCATAGGGTAAGCGCGTATACTTGAATAACCCCAAATGTGTGTTGATCACGACTAGCGACTGCGCTTGGGGATGCAATTCTAGTTGCTGGTATGCAGTGGACAAATCCAACACCGTGAAATATTTGCAACCGGCCAGCTTTACAAACAGATCCTCAATCACGGGAAGGGGGTAATGATCTGTTCTTAGGCATGGGTTTAGTGTCTCTTTGAAATCCCCACACACCCTGACCTGGTTGTTTGGTTTCGGCACCACTACTAGTTGCGTCGCCCATTTACTCTGCTGAACAGGTACAAACACTCCGGTTTTCACGAGGTTCTACACTTCCGAAGACACTGCTTCTTTAACTCAAAATGGTACCGACCACGCTTTACAAAAAACGGGTGTGCTATTATCATCTTTACGCACTAACTTAATGGCCCTGTTCTTAATTAGACCCAAGGTAGGCTCAAAAATCTTAGCATGTATCGCAGGCCTTTTTAAAAGTCAACCTGCTTGTCTTTAACAGCTCTGCTTGTGTTTCTTTGTCACAAAGTCCTGCTATAAACCAGTCGCGCACCGCGTCGTCCAGAAACGTTCTGAAGTCACAGGATGTCGCCAACCACTTTAACTTTACAGCGAAGGCTGTCACCGCTTGCCCAACTTGTTGAAAACAACGATTGAATTTGAAACGCTCGGCAATCACGAAAATTTTGGGAATGTACTGCTCTTTCAGTGTCTGTACTAACTGTGCGTACGTCTTGATTTCTGGCTTTTCTGGCTCCAGCAACGTTTTCAGACTTTTGTAGGCCTTCTTTCCTATTGCCGTTATGAACACTGACACCTTCAGGTCGTCGCTCACCTGGGAGGCCTTCAGGAAGTGATCAAACCGCTCCACGTAGGACTGAAAATCTTCGTCACCGTCCTCGATGAACTGATCGAACCTTCCCAACGTCGCCATCCTGTCTGTATCTTTCCAGCGCTTCGGAACCGCCGCTAATGGTGTCTTGTAACCGAGTGGAATTTGAATCCCATCTTCGTCGCCAGTCTGTTGTAGCCTCGAGGGACGAGGAGAGCCAGAGTGGCGGTGAACTGAGAACAGTAAGAAGATTTAATACTACATGAATACGGAGTACAAAAGAGCACTGGTGCACCCGGTTCACAGCGCTTATATAGCCATGAAGCACCGGCGCTATCAGCGTGACGTCACACAGGCTTCGCATGACACCACACTATAGGGAGTAGGCTGGGGCGAATAGTGAATTTTAGGTTCGAAGCGAACTAGAAGTGAATAGTGAGTTTGCTCTAATAATTTCGAATCGAATTCAGTATATTTGATGTATAAAAAATTGAAATATTGATCATGATCTAGCTAACCTGCAGAATATTTCTTTTAAACAAGGCCTTTATGCAAGAGCTTTCTTCTTTTTCCATTCAAGGAAAATAGAAACAACTTAGAGAAGTAGCAGGCTTTGACTTTCAGTAGGATGCAAGTGACAAACCGTAAATTACAGTCGACTATTGTTAATTCAAACTTGAAGGGACTTCTGAATTTTGTTTGAATGATATAGAAGTTTGAATTATCAGAAGTTTCCAGATACATGGCTTTGGGTGAGGTGACAGGACACATCATGACTAGGCATTGATTTTAGCACATTTAAAAATTTTAGGCATTTTTAAAGCCCTAACTGCATGCAGTGAACAGAAAGCAGAGGTGTAAAATCCACAATTAAGTGTATTGGCTATTTGCTGCTGATCAGACCTTCTAAAAAAATGGTGAATTACCAACTGATTTACTGTTTTAGGTAGAACCTATAGCAGTGTGTTTATTGTGAGAGCTTTGAGCTCTCCATAGCAGTTGAGAAGCATCACGGTTTACCATGCGTGTGCTTTGTTTCAAACATCTGTTTATTTGCGAAACCTTTTTTTTGAAGGCCTCAGGTGCTTATTTTTCATTTTTATAAAGTTAGAATTACATACGCACACAAACATTTAAATAGTGGTGAGAAAGCAGTATATGTTCGCTGGTATGAACCTGCAAAAACATGAATAAACCAAATGATAGAGTTTGAATGAAGAGACTTTTAAATACGTTGAAAAAATAGAGTATCAACCAAAAAATTGAATTTTGTTTGAATTAACCGAAAGTACGAATTATCAAAGTTTGAATTATCACGAGTCTACTGTCTTTAACATTATTCATTACAGCCAGAGTGTGTAAGGCGGCAAAACAAGCTTTTAAGCTTAAAAACCTACCAATAAATTTGAGGATATAATGTTCAAATAAAGGGGCCTGCAACAGTTTTTCCTGAAATTGGTTCACTAAAGAAGCCTATTGCCTTACGAATTAACCTCCGCAAAATTTTAGAATCGGTCCCGTATGAGCGGTGTTGCAAAGATTTGCCACAGGCGGCATTTGTTGCTCCGTTCTCGTTCTGACGAAAGGGCCTGAAGCAAATCGGTAGAGATGGCATAGAGAAAGAAAATATGTCACCTTGAGCACTCTTTCTATCTCTTTCTTTTCTTTGAATGTGCGGCTTTTCAGTGCGATCGTGCATGTACGCGTGGACATGTCACGGTCACCCATGGCGGCCCCATTAACAACCGAGCGTCCAATGCTCAAATCAGACAATGGCCGTGACGAGTGATTTTTGACATGCTGGTGTCATTTACTGAGAGAAGAGATCAATTTTTATCCGACTTTGGGAATTAATTGTGAGTTCCAGGTCCCGTGCTATTAGCTCGCTTGTTCTCGGTAGCCTCGACTTCCAATCGGCAGCATTTGCTGACCATGCTCTAAACGCTTTGCAGGGCCCCTTTAAATTTCATGTGTGGCTTCGCGACAGAGCAAGTATTTTTTGAATAGGTGCTTTTCACAATTTAGCACCTCTATGCTGCTGTGAAACCAGCTTTAGAGACGGTAACATGCGGTTTAGTATACACCTATTCGTTCATGTCGAATCATTCGAAATATTCGATAATTTACATTTGAATCGAAGCGAATTCGAATACTCTACTATTCGTTCGAATATTAGAAGCATTCTAATATTCGCACAAGCCTACTAAAGAGTGGAGACCAGATTATAGGCAAATGTCTATTTTGTTTCTTGCGTTCCCATCGTGCGATTTTGACATGGCACGAATAAGAGAGTAAAAAGAGCTTTTTGAGTGCGTATAAATGCGTATTTTGAACATTGGTGCCTAAATTTTTATAGGTGCCTATAAATGCCCGTTGTCGAAATCGGTGCTTATATCGACGCTATTTAACCTCAAATTTTGCTTTCAAGTATTTCTACAGTTTGGTATTTATGTTACATAAACCCAACTGAACTAATGCATGATAACAAAATTCAAAATCTAGAATGTCGCAGGAAAACTGCAAGACTAAAACTTCTTTTTTATCTGTCCAGCAAAAAAATGTACTTGAGATATCAAATATTCTTTCTCCGTTATCTTCGCGTCTAACTAGACGATATCATTCACAAAACTTCACTCCTATCTTTGCTCGAACTAACAATTTCAAATACTCTTTCCTTCCTCGCACATTAACAGAATGGAACGAACTACCACATCACATTTTTGAATCTGGAAACGTGTTAAGGTGTATTGAAAATTTTTTTGAAGGAACTTAGATCTTGTACCATAATGTGTTGTATATTTACCTGTTAGTTTGTGCCTCCTGTATTGTTGGTTTTTTTTGGTCATATCCTCATACTGTACCACCCCCACTCCTGGGCTATTCTTAGCCTTGGCTATTCTTAGCCTGGGCTATTCTTAGCCTGGAGTATTTTCTAAATAAATAAACACCCGGCGAAATCGAGTTTTGAGAGAACTATGGGGTGCAACCTATACTCCATCTCATAAGTTACTTTAGGCACTGTCAAGCCTACAAGGCCTCTCAGCCAATAGGAAGGTCGATTAGTCTCTACCATGGGTCAGCAAAGCTTGTGAAGCTCACTCAGACTTACTCGAGAATTTCGAGCTGACCCACTGCGTCTCAGCATTGCGAAAATTCTCAGTCTCAGCACTCCCAGAATTCACTTGGACTCACACTCGTGAAACTTTTCCTCAACCAGACTCATTCGGACTCAAGCTCACCAAAACACTACTCACCAAGACTCACTCAGACTCACAGCGTGGTCTGAGGGAGTACGAGTGAGGTGACTCACAAGTCCGTTAGCCTAAAATTGGCTTTTTCGACCATGGTGTGAATGCTTTTTAACATAAACATCTCAAGTTATCAGTGCTCTTCTAGGAGCCGTTCGGCAAAGTATCTTTGAAAACGAGTTCTTAGTGCTTGCAAACCAGTAAAGTAATTTTTTGAAAGAGATAACCCCACAAGATATATTTATCAATAGTTTTCTTGGATGAGTAAGTGGGCAGGTCAGGACACCCCCGTCCCCCCATACGTAATTCACGCCTCTGATCAACAAATATTGAAATGGTGCATTAACGACATGCCTTTGTAATACCGGTCAGTGGATTTCAGTATAAACATGAATCGAAATAAGGTTGATCGATATACAGAAGATGACCAGATAGGACGTTAGGTCGGCGAAAGGGAGTCGAACTCACTGCAACTCACTCAAGAAATGCATATTGCGCTTTGGTCTTACTAGGACTCGCACTCGCTAAAATTTTCTTGGGCCGAACTCACTCGGACTCACATTCATCAATTTTTTTTTTCAACTGGACTCACTTGGACTCAGGAAAAGATTACTCACCCGGACTGATTCAGACTATACCATCGGCTCGATCTGAGTCTTAATGAGTCCCAGTGAGTCTAATCACGAGTGAGTTCGCTGACCTATGGTCTCTACACATGTATTCATCCGCGTCGGGTCTTCTGCTAGGCATGTCTCCGGCGTCTGCTCGCTTGCGTAGGGAGCAGGAGGTGCTACTGTGCAGCGGCAGGACAATGAAGAACCAATGCGAAACCGTGAAGTGCAATCAGGGAAAAGTAAAGTGTAGATGAAAAACAATATCCCTGTGTTTTTTGTTTTATTTGTCATTTACTTTTTAAAATTTGCTTCACTTCACTTGAGAAATTTTACTTGGACAGTGGTATATAGCTGCTGCGTGCCCAATAAAAAAACTTTCTGTCGCATGATTTTTTAATTGGTTCATTACGAGCTGCGAAAGCATGGTGTGAGAAGGTGAGCTTGAAAGCCTCGCCCCTCACTCAATGTAGACCTCGCAAGCCAAATTCCTCCCTTTGCCTATTTGGTATCAAATCAACGCGGAGCTGGAGTATAACACGATGCGGGCCCATCAGCAAGTCATTCGCAAGGTTACATTCACGTGACATGCCCCTGCCCGGCAGTGCATGCAAGCGTTGTTCTGTCGTTTCAAGGTCATCTGTATTGTGCTGCCTGTTTCTCTGCGATGGATCCCTCTAGGCACGCTCGTTTGGAGAGGCTGGCATGAGTCACGTATTCTTACCACGATACCAAGCATCGCACCGTTGGAACTCGTCTAAGGGATGGTGGACCAAAAAAATGGCAGCATATCCACGGAGTGAATGATGGAGAGTAGGGCGAAGCATCCGTCCGCCCATTCCTTCTTGCTTTCGTCTGTCCATGCGTGTGTCTGTGTTGCCGCCCGTGCGTCCATCCGCCAGTCCGTGCGTGCGTCTGTTCGTGCGTCCGCACGTCCATCTATGCGTCCGTCCCTGCGTTCGTCCATGCATCCATTCCTGCGTCTGTCCATGCGTCCATCCGTCCGTGCAGCCATCCGTGCGTCCGTCCATATGCCTCTGTCTGTGTGTCCGTTCGTCCACCTATTCAACACTCCAAGTACCACTATCTCGCATCTTTTCATCATATATTCCTCATATAGAAGCACCGCCATCCAGCGGACATTCCAAGGGCTGAACGAGAGGAGGCACACGCACACTTTCTTACGACTTGTGCTTCGTGTCTACTTCCCAACCTTAACAACCTCGAGTTCATGGTATATACT